TTAGCGCCCAGCTTTTCATTTTTGTTGCCAATCTTATCCGCTTTTATAATGAATAGCTGCGACACACACAGACACACACACACACACAAATAGGCAATCGACCTGTTCATCTTTTAACTACTGACATCGGATTTGCACAACGATAACTGTAGGTACTTACATTGCAGCGATGCTGCGGTAGTGTAAAGTGGAATGACGTCATTACGTTGAGTTTCACCGCAACGCTGCACCTCCTCTTTTGATTCTCGCTGCCCAGGGCTACATTTAAGCATGCCAAACAAAAGCAATTTCGAGCAGTAACAAACTGCCGCTAGCCGTTGACAAATACACGACGAAAGTTGCAAATAGCTGAAAAAACGGTAGCAGATTGTTGACATGCAAATAATAGCGACAGCATAATCGCACCAGCTTTAAATTCGCGAATAATGTTTACCATCAGGCGTATGGTGCTGCTGTGGACTCGCCAGTAAGTGTTGTTTTAGCTGATTTTTACATGGATCACCTGGCGATAAAGGCCCTTAATGAATGCCTTCAGAATTTTAATCTGTTTTATACCAGATTCACTGATATATTTTCATACTGTTCCAGCAAAATAGGTATGAACTGGAAAGGTTGGAAAACTTCGTGGATTATATGAATGAAAAAGATGCCAATAACCGAATTCTTTTCACGGCGGAATTAGAGGAAAACCACTAAATAGACAACACATTCGGTTGAATTTGAGGTTTCTGTTTATCGGAAACTCACTCATTCGAACCGATATTCATATCTGACTTCTTGTGCTTCTCCATAGATGTTCATGAACATAGTGAAATCATGCGTATTTGTGCTCTAGAAAATTGTAACATCAACTCCAACCTAAACGCAGAAATTTAACATCTATGCCAAACCTTCCTAAAGAAAGGTTACTCGAGGAAGATACTTGAAAATGAACTTTAGCATCCCAGCTGGAACTATAGTAGACCAATGATATTTATACTGTTTATACCCCAGTTATTCCAACGTATCAAATGGTCCAGCAATCAACGACATTATTAGCTTGTGCAATGCAGTTGTTATCAGAAATAAGAACATACCATAGCATCATTAAGGTTAGCGGTCGCATAGAGGGACCTATGTTCCAAATGCAAAAACAATGTTGTCGTTGCCAGGCTGACATGTATTCCTTGTTAACCGTTTCGCACATGTATTTTTATACATGTGTGGCGAAACACTTTGCTAGTAAAGTCTTGACTGCAAAGTCTATTACGTTTGCTGTGTTTGGTGTCCTGAACTATGAATCATTTAACCAGTTGTCAGTATTGTACATTATCCGCCAGTTTACGGCTTAGGGCACGAGGCAACACAGACAACAGTTTACTAGCAGTGGCATTGTCTTAACACAGTTCTTTTGTGGCATTCTGCAAGCCACTTCTTACAATATTTTAACATGAGTGATAGGTTAATACCAGATCTTAACCAGCACACACATAATTTTAAATTTTAGGTTTTAATCACCATCACTCATTACATCATATATAACTTTCTTACCAAGTTCGCGAAAGCACTTCAGCCTTCATTTATCAGTGAAGGAAGCGATCATTACACA